CAGGTGAGACGGAGGCAGTGGGGGTGGGCAGCATGCAGAGGGCCAGGGAGAGGAGATGGAGGGAGGACTTACTGTAGATGGCTTTGCTGCTGGGCCGGGACATGGTGACGCTGCTGAGTCCCTAGAACCTAAACTGAACCAAAGGGACAGCCGTCAGCTGCGGAGAGAAACCCCAGGATGGAGAGGGAGGGGGCAGGTCGAGGATCCTGGCCTGGTCCCTGTCCCACCTGAGGCCTGGATCAGCCCCCCCCCCCCAGGGCCTCTGAGACCCAAAGCCCTGGGCCCAGGGCCTCAGAGCCATCACCAGCCATGCCTCCTCCACCGGGGAGCCCTCCATGGGGCAGGGCCTGGGGGCCCCACGCAGGCTGCCGGCCTCCTGTTATTTGGTCAATAAAGCCATTTCGATGGGCCCTGGAAAGCTGGTGGCCGGGGACCTCAGCCCTGATCCCATCTTGGGCCCAAGTGTGAAAGAGGCCGAGACTGGGCTGCCCCCAGCTTCCCGCCAAAGCCAGCCTCTGTGCGGCCGGTTCAGTTCTGCGCGTTGGGAGGTTGATGTTAGCTCTTAAGCTGGGCACCGCTCACGAGGGTGTGTGGGCACGGTACGCCCGTGCGTGCACACTTCTGGGGCCCTGCATCGGTGACCTGTGCTCCCTGAATGCCTTCCCAAGTCTGTCATTTCGTCTCTCCATACTCTGAACCCTCTGCCAGGGCCCTCTCACTCAACCTTACATTTCAGCTCGAGGACCACCTCCTGGGTGAAGCCCTCCATGAGCAACACCCCCCCCCGCCCAGAGCGCCCTCCTCACACCACCCGGAACCTGGTCTGTTCTTTTAAAGACAACAGCCACCTGGTTAGTGCCGAGGCCCCGATGAACACGGCGCCGTGGAATTCTCACCGCCCAGCCTGCCCGTGGACTTTACCTTCGTCAGCTTGTTTAATCCTCAAAACGTCCTTGCCCGGGGGTACTGTTATTATGCCATTTACCCGGCGAGGTGCCGGAGTGTTTATGTGTGTGCCTCTGTCACTGTGGGCACAGAGGGGCCTGAAGACGCATATGATGACATGGGTGAAGGCGCGTGTGTGAATGTGTGGGTTCATGCAGGGCGAGGCCTAATTGAGGGTGTAGGCCAAGCATGTCAAACTCAAAGGCTAACACGGGCCAAACAAACAAGGTTTAAGCTTATGTGGCCGCAAAAAACCAAAAGCTTCAATTTTCAGAGAAACGTAGGTTTATTTAGGAAAGTATAGTGTAAAAAACAAAAGAACAAGAGCAATGATAAAACTAATGCTTCCTTCCCGACACTTGGCACCGCTCCTCTCTACTCTCTTTCCTACTTGGGGGGAAATCTTGTTCCTCCCTGGTCCCACTTTCAAAACTGCCCCAAGGCGAATGTCGGCAATTCTGGATCTGACGGGAGACTTCTTTCCTTTCGTAATTGTAAGTAACTGCTCACACCGTTATATTGGCTGGGCCGCAAAAATATTCCTTGTGAGTTTGACATGCTTGGTGTAGGTCAAAGGTATGTGCTGTTGGAATGAGGCATCTAAGCATCATGAGTGTGTCTCTGTTTTGTGGGTGTGTCCTTGCAACTGTGAGGAAGTGCTGGAGAATCCTGGGCAAAGGGTAAGAGAGCAGCCCACGCCCCTAGTTACGGGGACTGGTATGAAAATAGCGTCTCCGATGGTGACGCAGTGGGGAATGAGTTGCCAGTAAACAGCTGGGGTGCTGTGGGGGAGGTGCAGGTCTGTGTGTCTTGTTGGGGGGAACCTCTTTCCTCTCCAAGGTAAGGGGTGCTGGCAGCTGCTCCCCTACCCCCCACCCCCCATCCCCGGCACGGCAACGTTTCCTGCTCCTAGATACTGTACATACGGCCAGCAGTGGTCAACACCTCTTCCTGCTCGCCCCACGCCAGGCTGGCCCTGTGGGTCCCCCTGCAGCTTCAGCTGCTCAGATCCCAATGCAGGAGAGGGGAGGAGGCTGGCTTTGGCCTGTCTTGCCCCTGGCTGGGGAAGCGGGGCTGTGGCAGCCCAGTTCCCTCCACTTACCCCTGAGTTAGGGTCGTGGAGTAGGGAAGGGGAGTCTGCATCACGGCCTCTGGGAGAAGCGCCTGGAGCCCTGGCTGCCCTGCCTTCTTCTCAGCTGGCCAGCCCACGGCTGAGCCCCTCGCCCTGCGTGGGGCTGCTCCTCCTGGCTCCACTGGGCTGAGACCCTGGCCTGGGAAGCTCTGAGCTGCCCCCATCACCCTGGGGTCCCCGGCAGCCACCTGGGCCCTGACCTTCCCGAGGGCTGGCCTTACCTGGCTTCCAGTGAGGCCTGGTCCCCCGAGGGGGCTGGCGCTGGCGGTGACCCGGTGTCGGTGGTGGGAGCTGCG